GGAAACGCATATATGTATAAAGTAACTGATGACTAATGATCTGTATTTCTAGTCTATCCCTATTGCTATTCGGATTGCTATTTCTATTCCATCCTCTATAATTATACGGACCGCTATTCTCGCTATTCTCGACTCTATTCACTATACTATTTCTCTATTCGGATCACTATACTGATTACTATTCGAGGGAGTATTATCGATCAAGTACTATTAGTGCGAGTGCTATTCGAAGGCGTCTGACACCCGCATTGTTCAACGGGGTTACTGTAGTTGTATCTGCGATTACAAAGTCTCTACTACAGCAAGTATTACGAAAGTGACAATGAGTATTCGTTGACATCACAAAAGATATCAAACCACCTGACGTCCTTTACAAATGTAGAGATTTAAAGTTATTTCCACAAAGTTTAGCAATGAAGACGTCGGTCAGTTCCAGTCGGGCACAAAGATGAGTGGAAAAAAGCGGGGCACGACATCGTAAGGGGAAGTATTCTCCATAACCGCTGAAAGAAACATCAGCTTCGATATCTTTCCGATCTATGTGAGCCTCAGGTAAGGAATGAGACGGAGTTCCTACCCTACAGCCGAAAGGTATCAACTGCACAACACCCTCAAGACGAATATCAGATCCAGCAGCTTGCTAAGACTGATGGGTAAACAACGTATCAGAATTGTACAAATGATCACACCCACATCGCGTTGAAACACTGGTTCCCGTAGGATTATCGAATTTAAGCAACGTCGAGCCTAGTATCTAAACCAGTGTCCGTTTGTAAATACCAGGCGCTATAAGCTTGGATGTGCGGGTGGTGTAATGGATAATGGCTTGGAATTGTTAATCGGAGAGCCGATTTCCAATTCCCAATGGATTCGATATATTCACCTACGCGCAAATACGCTTGGGAAATGTACGAATTCACCTCTTCTCCCTCCAGCTATGGGTTAATGAGTAAGATTTTAACTCGTAAATATTATTACCTAAAATAAATTATTACAACCTGAAAATAGGTTCTTACTATAAATAACCTGCAAATAACCAGATATGCCGTAGAAAACACATCAATCATATTTGTGGAGGAGTTACACCTAATAAAAGCTATTTATATATTGAGACTCTGCTTCATACTAGTTTCAAATTCGTCACGTCACAATTTCCGTAGCATCAGGTTTGTAGGGACAGGCGTACCAGCAGTAGTGTGTCTAGGGAAAAATAGCCTAACGGAGCTCCATCCCTCTTTAGGCTTATTGTGACTTTTTTCTTGGAGTGGTTATCATCAAAAGGCAAGAGCCGAGTCTACTCTGCTATTTATCTATATTCAGGCTTGTAGGGACAGGCGTACCAGCAGTGGTGTGTGTAGGGAAAAATTGCCTGACGGAGCCCATCCCTTTTTAAGCTTATTGTGACATTTTTATTGGAGTGGTTATCATCAGAAGGCAAGTGCCGAGTCTACTCTGCTATTTATCTATATTCAGGTTTGTAGGGACAGGCGTACCAGCAGTGGTGTGTCTAGGGAAAAATAACCTGACGGAGCCCATCCCTCTTTAAGCTTATTGTGACTTTTTTCTAGGAGTGGTTATCATCAAAAGGCAAGTGCCGAGTCTACTCTGCTATTTATTTATATTCAGGCTTGTAGGGACAGGTGTACCAGCAGTGGTGTGTCTAGGGAAAAATAGCCTGACGGAGCCCATCCCTCTTTAAGCTTATTGTGACTTTTTCTTGGAGTGGTTATCATCAAAAGGTAAGACCCGAGTCTACTCTGCTATTTATCTTATAGCTGGGCGTTATAAAATGCATTCATATCTTTATTTATGAGAAAGGAAACGTAACTATCTAAGTCAGAACTCGAACACGTCCCACCGATTTAACCTTTCGTTAGTTATCCGTTATACTACCCCCACATTATTAGGCAAATTCGTACAGAAAGATATAAACAATCTATTATCTTTTATCGAAATCTGAGATAGCTAATGTATACCGTATTTTTTTCTTTTTTTTTTTGGAAGATCATGTTTATAGAAAAGTGAATGAAAGTGTAGAAACCTTTTTTCTACTTTAGAGGCTTTCATTGTAGCGGGTGTAAATCAGTTTTGTGTTTAACATGGTTTTTAAAAAGTGCACACAGAGAGAAACAATATGTCTTCCTCAATAGAGCGGAATATTTACAAAAGACACACGAGGGATTCTCTTTGACTATTAGCAATAACATACGAGTAGAGGCATTGCATTATCATTTCATTTCCGTGTTCAGATTAACGTATTCATATGCTGACGTTCGATACTTCCAGTGGCACGAAGGCTAAAGAAAGAAAACCTCGTCTAAGAATTCTGGGATCAAGGTCAACTAATTAACGTTTTTCCCTTTCCAGATTTCATTTATTTACTGAACGTGAAGGAAAAGAGATTATTTAAATTTTATTTCTTTTTTTAATTACCAGACCAAAAGGCAAAGGTGATGCTAATTGTTTAAAAGCCGCTAGCTTCGTTTTAAACAATTAATCGAAATTAAGATTCTTTAAATTTTTTTTCTTCTCTATCTCGTTACACTTCAGGATATGGGCGACCATGGCTCTCCACGACTACTTATCCTTGTAATTCTTAGTAAAGTTGTCTTTTCACCGCCTCTACCATTACCTGTCATTCATTTACGCAAGCTCATTAGTTAGGTTCCTCTTGCCAGCAATATGTCTTGTAAGTGTCAAATTCTCCAAGCCTTCTTTTCACATTTGGTATCCTAGAGATTTCAGCTAGCTCTTTCTGATACTAAGTATAAGTGTACGTTTTGTTTTTATTTACCTTCAAACTGAATTATTGTTCACATATTTAGTCCATGATATTCTCAGTATCCTGCTGTAGAACCAGGTTTCTATCCCGTCAAGTCTCGACTTCATCAGTGATGAGATTATCCATCATTTAAGCAATGTATAGCAGGACTGATATTAAAACATTTAAGCAATGTTTTCTTTGTTTCTAGTGAATTTATCCTGTTTCTTAATAGTTTGCCTAGCTTTTGGAAGGCATTTTTTACTATTCCAATGGGTGATCGGATTACACAGCGTTGTAGGTGATTAATTATTTTCCCGGCTACAACTCCCTTCCTATGGATGAAACGTTGCCAGTCTCTCGATGACCTATTGCTATTTTCCCTGCAGCTGTTCTGGCGCGCTACATTCTTTATTCCCACCAGTCCAGACCTTCATCTAGAAACCTCCACTCCACATATAGAGGGAAAACTCATGCTCATTCCTTTCGTAGCCCATCGGTAAAAAGAAAATTACACAGCTTCTTCTCCTGAACTATTCGTTGTAGAACAAACTACTGGTGTGTGCTTTCTCTACGAACTTAATCCCTTCAAGTCTTGGGTCAACTATTTATCATCTTTCGTATCCTCATAGTATGGACTTCTTACGTCTTCCTTTTAGGGATTTACAACAACCTCATTCAGCAACCGTCTAGCTTGAGTAGCTCTTGGGCATTGTATTGCGTGAAGAATATTAAAACAAATGGATACTGTTTGTTTCCAGAAAATCGTTGTTTTATGTTATAGTATAACTATGGACGATATTGGGTATGTCCGCATTTGCATAAATACAATAGTAAATAATGTATGTTGGTCTGCAGTTGGAGATTCGTCTTCAGTTGTGCTGGTCAAACTCTCTGCCCAGAAGGAGGGAGGATCCCAAGACGAGGCTATGCCCAAGGACAGAGCCTCGTCTCGGGAAAAAACTACCCGACCCCGTTTTATACGGGTCTATGGGGAATTTTTGGCCATGCCTACGGGCTCGGATACCCCACATTAAATTCGGCCTTGTGTCACATTAACCGCGTAGCGCGGTTGGTAGATATCATGCAGTTAGAGATTCGTCTCCATCTGTGCTGGTCAAACACTCTGCCTCCGGCCAGGGAGGATCCCCAGACAAGGACAGAGCCTTGTCTCGGGAAACAGCTACCCAACCCTGTTTTATACAAGGTCTACAGGGAATTTTTGGCCAAGCGTACGGGCTCGGATACCCCACATTAAATTCGGCCTTGTGCCATATCTGACCGCGTGGGGCGGTTGGTAGATATCCTGCAGTTGGAGATTTATTGTGAAATTCAATTAACTCACTTCTAGCAGTTTACTACTACTTCTACGCGCAGCTGGCGAATCTTATATGTCTTAAGTATTTTCGTTCATTTCCAACCTTCGTTAGATTATTCGATTCAATAACCTTCCCCAGGTTATGACATTTTATTAGAAATTATGATGGAATGCATAACACAAAAGGTGAAGATTAGTCGAGGAAATAGGTTTCATTGTCTGTTGCTTTTAATTAATGAACATTTTTCCATAGAATCAACGGACTAAGCTCTGTCGACATTAAATTTGCATGAAGAAGCCGTGTATTTAAGAGAAATCAATTAGTGATAAACTTGTTTTACTACTAATAGCAAAAAGAATTTTCTGTGCAACTTACAGAAGTTACATGGCCATCTCGCGATCTCTTTGCTTGTAAAAACAGTTTAACAAGTCCATTAAGTCAGGATAACTGGCTTACAATACACGGAGAAAGCTGTGTCGGCATCAAATCAATTAAGTGGCTTTAACAGGTCGTGTTATTTACTGCTCTTTGCTCTGTTTTTGATGAGGGTCGATTTCTTTCTTTGTTTTTTGGTTTTGTCAAGAGAGCTTCATTGAAAATCAGTCCATGTGACTCCAAGATAAGAGTCATTACAGAGTATTAGAATAAACTACTTTACGTTAAAGCAACAAATGGATTCTTGATTGTGTACACATTCAGCTTGAAGCATCATGTTTTTTTTTTCTTTGGCTGTTCTTCAGGTCCGGGAACATTTTCGAAAAATATATTAGCAAATGAAAGCATCGAATGTTGACCTCATTCAACAGATACCATCTTAAAAAAAAACAACCAAAAAAGAAGAACATTCACTTGAGACAGCAGCAGTTAGAGTGCAGAGAAATCGTGAAAAATCGAGTTTTATTTCCTTACAAGACTCCATA